ACCTAGGCTGCATCACTTTTGAGCACAGATCCACTGAGAAACTTGCTGTTTCAGCAACATTTAATTTAAAAACTGTACTTTAGAGGTTAAAAAATGTTAATAGTTAATTTAAATAAATTACAAGTTAAAAGGGCATGGAAATTTCCCTTTCTGTATCGAAAAAATATCGAACCGTGAGACTAAAGTATCGAACCGAATCGTGAATTTTCTGTATCGTTGCATTTAGGACAATACTTTTGGAAAATTGTTGATACATTTTGTTACAATAATGCTCCTGCAATTTCCAAACCTGTTTCCGTTTACTGATGCATCAGAAGTTGCTGTAATTTTGAAATCAAAACAAATATTCAACCTTCAGACTGCTGAAGAATATCACCACAGGGCTCAAAATAGCATGTTGACAGGGGGGAAACCAACACAAACGCCAGGTAGGTTGAATAAAAATGTGGGTGGACAGGTTACTGTGAACTCAAAAGGACCACTGAGTAACCAGCTGATGAGTCATGCTTAAAGACCCAAGGCCCATACTTCTGCACACATTGCTCCCATTTTGACTTGAACTTAGTCTGGGGGCCTCKTTAAACCCCTCCCCAAAGCTGGTGTGAGAGTGGTGAGCAGCCACAGAGTGGGCTTATCTGCTCCTGCACACGGTAACACACATATGTAATCTCACGCTGGTTTGACCAGGTTGKGACTGTCACACCTGCGCCTCTGTACAGTAAATTCAGCCTCTGCTCAGAACTTCCTTGTACTGCTCACTGCACCATGCTCGTCTACGAATTGACGAAGCTGACATGTAAGGGAAAAAAAAGGTTGTTTTGCTTGCACTCACGGGGCTTCTGTAATGTTCACTCTTCATTCGATTCACACACGCTGGTATGCGTGCTTGACACTGGTGTCATCTTGCTTGGACACGTCAAAGGAATAAGGAGCAGTTTATAAATTGTCATGACAACATTTTATTTATTTATTTATTTTTTTCCAAACAAGTGTTAACCAACTCCAGAAAATATATTTAGGTTGATTTTCTTAAAGAAAAAAGAAGGAAAAAAGCAACATTGCAGATAATGGCTGTGCACAATATGTAAATAGCTGTTTGTTGCTCTCATAATTGAATTAGTCGAGAAATACATAAAATGTTATTAAAGAAAGGTTAAAATGAACCAGTTTACTGCAACGTATTTTTAGGGTTGTGATGCAGTTGATGTGATTTTTTTTTTCTTTTGCGCTTTTTGTTTGGCTAAACTTGGTGTAAAATTGTTTTTAGCTATTGTTTTTAATACTTTTTTGGACAACCCATTTTATTTCTAGGGTTTTTATTTGTTCCCCCATATTATAAAATTGTTTTATAAGGGCTTGTTTTGTGCTATGATGGAGAAGATGTTAAAAATATGTCAACATAATACTTCAAATAGGCCCACTGTTGCTATGCAACAGTGGGACAGATGAAGACGTATTTTAGCTTTAAACAATACTCACTTGACAGCCTTTGCATCCACAGAGTTCTTATAAAAGTCCAAATTAACCTAAAGCACTAAACCTTTTAGGTAGGTATGTGTATGTGGGAGTGAAAAGCCAGCCATTTGAGAATATTCAAGCCTATTAGAAAACGTCTATGTCTAAAACTTTAATGACTGATGTGATGTGTGGTTGAGTAGAGTCATGTTAAAAGCTGCAGCTGCATTCTTTCACATCAGCACAGACGACTGGCTTCAGCCTGTTTATTCATACCTGTTTTCCACTTCTTTCTTTTTTTTATCCCCTATACTTAATGCATTTGTCATTAGTTTATTTTCAGATCTTTCTCTCGTTTTAATTGTCTTTGTATAATCCACACCTTTTAAGATGATAGTAAAGGCCAAATTGGTGCTAAGTCTACAGAGCCATCATAAGAGTTACTCTCAGATGGAAGTAGTTTGAAAATGGAACAAACTGTACTTGATGTACTCAGTCCCCATAAATATTTGTTTTTATTTGGCAAAATTTATAACATTTGACCAAAAACTGACACAAAAATGCATTTTCCATTGGACAAGTTTTTGTTTGTTTGTTTTTGATGGACCCTTACATCGCTTTTAAAAAATTTGCAACCAAAACAAGTAAACATAAAAAAAAAAACAAATTCCCTTTTAATTTCTGGAAGCTCAGGGTGATGTGAACATTTTGCCCCTCAAGCTAAAAAAATGCATATAAACAAAAATTTTAATTTCTAATTGCTGGAACTGGCAACACTTGTCAAAATGGTAAATTTTTCTCTTTAAAAAGTTAGTGATATCACTTGAGCTCAAGCAAACACACATTTCCACACACAGTCAAAAAAAGAAGAATTTTAGATAAATCTGTGATGAGAAATGCTTAAAGTATAATGTAAAAAAATGTGTTATTAATGTTTTACATCTCCTTTTTAAATGATAAATTGATAATGACAAAGCTGTTCCTAGTCAATTTTTGTGTGAGCAAGTGTATTTGCTGATGTGAAGGGTGTGCCAAGATTCAAGAAAGTAACCAGCTTTGTTTGCTTTATAGTACTGACTAGTTGTTGTATGTTTTGGCTATCTTACCTGGTAATCAAAGCTCACTGTCTATTTATTCAGTCTCGTTGATACTGTATTCAAGTTTTAGATTATTATATTAGTAGTGTTTAAGTGTTTCAATAATAAGCCTTTTTATTATTGTGTCGGTGGCATTTTGTAGTTTGGCACCAGGTTTTTTTGTATATTAAAATAAACCTTTTGGATGAGAA